CAAAATTGATTATACATATTTTGGGGGTTCAACATTGACATATGTTGATCAAATCAATATTCCTAGCATGTATATTTTTACATATCATAATTATTCTTTATGCCCCTTGACCAATCCCTCTCCATCCCCCTTTCTCTCCCTCCTCCCCCTCTAATCATCCTAGATTTCTTCTCTCCTGAAAGAATAATGGTTACTCTGTTGATTTGCTGCCCAAATGATCTGTCCAATGCTGACAGGCGTGATCAGGTCCCCCAATACTATCATAGAGCAGATGTCTCTTCCGTCACTCTGAGATGGGCTCTGTGGAGACAGACATCCTCCTCCTCTCCATTTTCTTGTTGAACTTCTAAAACCAGGGCACTGCATGAGACCGAATTTCAGGGGTTCAGGTGATAGCTGGAGGGGGCGCGCGTCCACCGCTAAGCCGTGAGCTCACGGTCCTGCGCTGTCTCCGGAAGCCGGCAGGGGACGCCCGAGCCCGCCTTTTTAGACGGAGAAGCGCATGCGTGATTCGCCGGCGGAGGCGGCGCGGGGCTGGGGGCAGGTGGGGACGCGTCCATCCGGGGCCGCGTGCACGTGAGGAAGAGGCGCCTGTCCGCCCCTGCCCGCGCCTGNTGGGGGCAGGTGGGACCGCGTCCACCCGGGGCCGTGTGCACGTGAGGAAGAGGCGCCTGTCCGCCCCTGCCCGCGCCTGCCGGCTGAGGGGGCTCGGCCGCGGGCTCCACACGGTTTTCCTCAGTAGCGAGAAGCAGCCCTCATTTTCTGGATGTTCCCATGCTATTAATATTAATATTCTCATGTTATTAATAATTCTTGCGTGCTCAGGTAGGATTTGAGCAGGACTCAGTCTGCAGGACGGTTCCTTGAGGCGGTTGAGGGCCGGGGGCCCAGCGAGTGCGGTGTTCGTGGCAGTCAGGGGTGTTTCTGGGGGGAATCCGGTACCGACTGAGAGAGAGTACAGCTGCGGAGGGACAGACAGAATGTCGGGCCCTTCAGGGACCCACCAGACAGGCGGGGACCGGGCGCGCCACATCGGAGCCCCGGTGAAGCGGGGAGGGCCACGTACGTGCTTTCCTAACGTTTCCAATTTGCTTTTTGTTTGTTTGTTTTTTTCAGATTCAAAAAGTATATTCCTCTGTCTTGGTAAAGTTTTACGTTT